GAGAGAGAGAGAGAGAGAGAGAGAGAGAGAGAGCTGAGCATTGTCTGGCTGACAGTTCTTGACCTGAGGTCTCAAAACGCTGATTGATCCACGTACCCGCATATGACTGAAAATGCTTCACCGCCTAGATGCAGTGACGGCGTCAAGGCTGTCATGTTGATGGCAGGAGGGAGGCTAGATGAAAAGACGAGCCTTCGAGCCACTGGTAGACAGAAAATGGAAAGGGAGGATGGCGAGGCAAAAGGGGACACCATGAGGCTAGGGGACAGTGAACTGTAAATAGCCTTGCAACTGATGGCTATATCCAGTCATTTCTGTTGATTTACGTGGATGCTCAAGCATATCCAGAGCAAAGATCTTTAACCAGATGCCCCGATTCCTAGGTAGTCAGGCTCAACGCCGGAGAAGGATGCTATTCTCCAAGATGACGGAAAAACGTGCTTCTAGCCGGTAACAATGACATGTCAATGGCCGCAGGGCTGGCGACAGCTGCTGGCAAGGCTCTCAAAATAACATGACTAAGGCAGCCACATCCATGCGCATCCGAGTGTGCTTGAACCATGTCTATATTAGTCATATTGCAACACATACAACAAGAACAGGTTTCCTGTAGCCTTGGGGCGGCTTTTTGCCAATCACTTCGACCGTTTCGCGAGCCTCTCTGGGGGGGAGTGCTTGTTCTGTGCAATCTAATCGCTCCACGGCGCCACCAACAGAAGCAGCACGAATGGCTTCAATTTGAAAAAGACGTTGGGGGAAAACCAGCACCTGTTACCTTTAAATCCTTTTGACCGTTGCTGTTCAAAAGTTCTCCCCGGCCTAGAAATCGCACACCCCCATCATCCAGTTGGCTGGTGGAGTTTTCTTTCAAATTTTGAGCTAGTCTATCTGCATGTATGCAATCCTGCGTCTGCACAGTGTCTTTTTTTTGGGTTGTTTGTGATGAGGCTACGTCACATTACACCCGCATCAACACACCGACACATGCCTTCCCCCCGTCTTCTCACTTCTTCTTCCTCCTGCTCGTGTCATATCTATACTCCCTTCATCGTCCCTTCATCAGCCAATAAGATCCGAGCCATGCCGTTCAAGCTCTTCCCCCTGATTCGGGGAGAACCCGGCCCTCCGCCTGACGGCGGCGTCTCGGCCTGGCTCCAGATCCTCGCCAGCCACCTCATCAACGCCCTGTCGTGGGGGTACTCGGCCTCGTTTGGCGTCTACCAGCTCCACTACACCACGACGCTGTCGCTGCCCGAGTCGCAGGTCGCTTGGATTGGTTCCGTGCAGGTCTTCCTCACCTTCTTCCTCGGCGCCTTCGCCGGCCGCGCCGCCGACGCTGGCCTCGCCTGGCACGCGGCCGTCCTAGGCTGCCTGCTCGTCGTTCTCGGCACCTTTACCACGAGCCTGGCCACCGAGTACTGGCAAATATTCCTCGCCCAGGGCCTCTGCATCGGCCTCGGCATGGGCGCCTGCTACGTGCCCTCCATGGCCGTCGTTGGCTCCTACTGGCAGCAGCACAAGGCCTTTGCCATTGGCCTGGCCGCCTCGGGGAGCGGCACGGGTAGCATCCTCTTCACCCTCGTCATCCAGCATCTCCAGCCGACCATTGGCTTCGCGAGCGCGGTCCGCGTCCAGGGCTACATTTCCCTGGTCTTTGCAGTCGTCGTCGTCGTCGTCTTTCGCCCGCGTCTTCCGCCGCGCAAGGCCGGACCAATCGTCGAGTGGAAGGCCTTTACCGAGCCCACCTACGTCCTCTTCACAATCGGCGTCGTCCTCATCTTCGCCGCCGTCTACTTTTGCTTCTTCTTCATAAACACATATGCCACCTTACGCGTAGGCCTCTCCCCGGAGGCAGCTGCCAACCTGCTGGTCATCATCAGCGCCATCGGCATCCCGGTGCGGCCCCTGCTTGGATACCTTGCCGATAGATACTTTGGCTCGCTGCTCACCTTGATTGTGTCGACCGTCTTCCTCGCTATAATGCTGTTTGTCTGGATTGCCGTGCGCACCGAGAGCGGTCTCTATGTGTATTCTGCCTTTTACGGAGTTGCCACCGGCGCAGTGCAAGGAAGTCAGTACATGCCCTTTTCCTTGACCTCTATCTTTTGGCCTTTATCCTATGTTCCAATTCCTACTACCTAATTACGTCTCATAAGCTATCACTGCCCAGAGTACCTCAAACATTAGCTAACGACGCATGTATCCAACAGTGTTTGTAAGCGGACTCGCGTCACTGACGGTCGACTTGAGCAAGCTAGGTGTTCGCTTTGGCATGGTGGACAGCCTGATAGCATTTGCGTCCTTGGCAGGACCGCCGCTGGCGGGTGCTCTCATCCAAATCGACAACGGAGGCTATCTCAAGGCGCAAATATGGGCGGGCGTGGTGACCATGTGCGCCAGTTTCTTCATCTGCGGCGCCAAATGGACTCAAGTCAAGTCCAACGCCTCTCGATCGAGAGCCAGGGAGAGAGAGGCAACACCCAACAGCTTGGAGGCTGTTCGGGTGGAAGGATGACGGGCACAACGACGCGGGATCTCGTTGTGTCTGCTTGAGTCGCAGAGGCAAGTTGAATAGTCAAATGCGAAGTAATACTGAAAAAAGAAAAAAGAGAAAACAAGAAAGCAAAAGCACAAAGAAATCAACTTATTAGCCCTTGCTGCCAAGAGGCACACTTTCTTTTCACAGTTTCCTGAAAGCCATCATCAGGAGCGCCGCCTTCAAGTACTATCCGAGCCGAGTAAAGCTGTTGAGGTAATGTTGCTCCAGAGAGTGATGCAGGCACTACGCCATACTGTCGCGATCAGGGCCTGTGAACATGAACGTGCAAGCTGATTACGCGCCGATCTGGGCCTCTTTGGCGAGCGCACTGAGCCAGTCTGAATGCTTCGTCTGCGTAGGTGATGGAAAAAGTACCAAGAGTGCCACGGCCGTGTGTATAAACAAGTCGGAGCCATTGCGACTCTGAAGTTGTCAAACACGCAGGCTGCCGAGGTTTATGCATGCCAACTTGAACAATGTATCCTGAAAGCATGCCGCGATTACGGAGATAGAAGAGAAATCTAGGCAGTGTCCTGGGAGCATACTGCGGTTGCAGGGACACAAGAAGACACCAGACACATCGATGCCCTCGGTTCGACTTGCTCGACAATATTGAGATGCCGAGACTTGCACCCTGAACAAGAGCTGCTGAAGCAAACCCAACCCCGGCCCTGGTGGCTGGAAACTTTGCATATCTCGCACGGAATCACCATTCGCACTGTCAAGGCCATCGGCACCAGCCTCGGGGCAGCTGTTGGCTGGACAGGATGCAATGGAAAGAGCGATATCAATTCGGCCACCCTGCGCAAACAACTTGCCAAGACTGGTATTGACTTGGCATTGTTAAACTGCACAGTCTCTGGAGACTGTCGTTGCTTAGCTTCCAGACTGGTAAATATTAAACGCACATGGATTTCAATCACATGAATCAGGCTCCAGGACGATGCGACACCAAAGCTGCAAAAGCTTTATGCATCATACATTAAAAAGTTTAGAATATCTTGGAGCTTGATTCTAAGATTATACCATCGCCCAACACGACCGACGGGTGAATTGCACTTGTCAATGGCCAATCGCCAAGTTACTTTCGGCGCAACACCACCATGTGAGCCCACGTATTGGACCCAATACGATAAGGCTCCTTCTCCATCGCTACGATTGTAATTAGCCCTTCGCTAGCCAGCCTCTCAATCTCGGCACGATATCCATCCCTGTCGAAGACGGCATCTGTAATGGTCGCAACCACCACGCCGCCCGGCCTCGCAAGACGCACGAGCTCCTTGATCGCCGGGTCAGGGCCGACGTGACCCGCAGTAAACGTGCCGCAGCAGGTGATTACGTCGTAAGACGCGTCCGGCTTGTCGATTTGCTCGCTCATGTCGGCGACGGACAGGTCGCTGTAGGCGCCCGTCTTGCGGGCCGCTCCTAGCATGCCCGGGGACAGGTCCATGCCGTCAATGGTCCGGGCCCCGAGCTGCGCCAGGGCGACCCCGACGAGGCCCGTGCCGCAGCCGGCGTCCAGGATGCTCCCGGCCATGTTGCCGCCCTCGGTCTGGGCGCGGAGAGCGGTCGCGCGCGGCGCCACGTACTCGACGTTGCGCTGGACGACGTCGACGTCGTACGAGTCGGCCCAGGTGTCGTAGATGCTAGCCAGCTCCGTCGGTGTCGATACCGAGTAAAGTGAGGTCAGGTACTTGGCAGTATTGCTCTGCTTGAAGTCGGTCATTTTCTTCTCGGCGTCTAGCCGAGCAGCTGGGACTTGTTGATACTGCATAGCTCTTGTTTTACAAGTGAGGGTGTGATGCTCGAAGAAATCAGTGCTTTGGAGAGGGCAACGTCTTTCAAGATGCCAATGCGTTGCTTTTGAGGTAATCTGTGCTCTGATTCTGAGTAATAAACATATTATTTCCTTGTCTCGAATATAGTCAGAATCTCTATGCAACTTAGTCATATGTGTCTGAAAAGCCGACCATCTAGATGTAGTCACCGCCGCCCGCATTACTTGTGGCGCCGCTTTATCGTATCGTCATGCCGTGGCTTACCGACTCTGCGCGCAGATCTTTTTTCGATATTTGAATCTCTATTCTCAGACTATTTCTTCCCAAGCCCTTGGCAAAGGAAGGCAGATGTGAGTCAAAGTGTAAAATAGACCGAATGCTGTCAACATTGACTGCGAGATGGATAGCTGCGCAGCCGGCCACCAAGTCCATGATAAGGTCCGCCGTGCTAACAGCGCCGGTAAAACTAGTGGAAAAATAAAAACTCGGCTCGCACTACGATGTATAAACCAATTGCTGCTAGATATACTCCCAGCCAGTGCCAGAATCGGCATCCACCTCGTCAATGATGCCTGCCTGCGGCTGCCCATCTTTTCCTCTGCTCTTGGGATCCAGGCGATCAATCTTGAACTCATCCAACGCATACTCGGAGTGTCCAATCAGCACCATGTCCTTGAGCGCCCGCCCGATCAGCGGCACAAACTTCATGGCCCAACCGGCGGTGAAGACTGCCACGCTGTCCTTTGCGCCGCCCTGGAGGTACTGTTCCGGGATATAGTCGAGTACGAACATGTTGTCTGGCTCACGCTGTCAGCTCTTCACTGTTACGGAGAGAGCGTGTACGGACCGAACGTGTTGGTCTGCAGACACGACAAGGTGTACGCAGGCGTCGTGTAGTCTACACCCACCAGGTGCTCTTTGATGAACTGCTGCGTATCGTGTATGTCCTCGGGGTTCACGACGCTGCCGCACCGCAGGTTGGGGTCTGTAATCTGTCTTGTTGCCGCATCCACCGCGATTCGACACACGTTGGGCGGACCCCATTCGACTGTGGGAAACCCGTAGAACAGCCGTGACCTGCCGTGCTTGTCGTTGGCGAACTGGAACCACATGCCTTGGGTGACGATTAGCAACCTCGCATTCCATACTCATACCATTACGTACTTGGGAAAAGCGTTCCGCTGGGGCCGGGATTCACCGAAAAGTACGACGCCACCATCTCCCAGATGTTGAGCTTCAGCTTGAACTTGAAGCTGGGCTGCACGACGTGATTTGTATATGCGCCTGCCGCTATGATGATCTTTCGGGCCCTGAACGAGACAGCCTCGTCACCCTTTACACGGGCTTCAACCTTCCACGTGTCCTCGCCGTTCTCTTTAACAGGGACGAGCTTCTGAACTTCGGTAAATTGCTGGGTCTGGGCGCCGTAGTCCTTAGCCAGGCGGGCCAGAGTGCGAACCAGGAGCGGAACGTTGATGACGCCGTTATCTGGGGCAAAGATTCCTTCCCACGCTTCTGGGAGCTTCTTGAACGGGTACTGGCTCTCCATTTCTTGCTTTGTCACTGATGTCTTGTAAGTTTAGAAGAATTGGACAATCCAAATAAGACACGTACTCCTGCGGAACGGCATGCCCAGCTTCTTCAGATTCTCTATAGGTCCCATGAGTGTTCCTAAAAATGGTTAGTTTCTTGTTATAAATATGTAAAAAGAATTGAATCATCATGAAGAACCTTCTGGGGTGTCTGCTCCCATCGTAGTGTCTCCAAAATTCAGCAGCCCCGACATTACGCGCAGAGATGTACCCGCGTCCATTTCAAGCTCGTTCCAAATACCCATGGACTTGTAGGCAAGCTCCGCCATGAATGACTCAGTATACCTGCATGTCTTGTTACAGTGAAAGCCCGAAGCGTGATTCTTTTAACTTACATGGTGCGATACATTCTGGCCAGGTCATTAGAGCTTCCGCTCGCGTTGAACAAACAGCTCTGCTCCAGTAGCAGGGTGGATTTGCCTGCCTTGGCCACCTCATATGCAGCAGCGAGCCCGATCGCGCCGCCGCCCACTACGATGGCGTCGTAGACGTGTGAAGGCATGATTCTGACATGCAGCTCGGTCAATCTCCCAAGGTTCGCTCGATTGTATACTGGATTACTGGAACAAGTTCTGACCGTACATTGAATATATAGACAGGTACATACATACAGTGTACGTATCAGGTAGATATTAAATGGACCCCGAGCTGAGAGGGATCGCGTCTTGTGCCATGGCTGACATGAGCTCGCCAAGTGTCTGACTAAGAAGCCTGCAAGGGATGTGGACACGAATACAAATTTTATTTCGGCAGAGGAGTATTTAGGGGACCAAGACAGAAAGCTATTTACATTTTAATAAAGGGAGTTCGAAACACCCCAACCCTTTTGCTTTGTTTTGCACTACTTAGTTTACTCTCACCTTATTCTCAAATATGTCTTCTTACAGCGGATTCTCCAAAACATTCAGCATCCCACTCTTACCAGCTAAAACGTAGTCTACTCATCTTAAGAAATGTATTCGAGATCCTTGAGCTTGTGTTTATTTGTTGACAAGGTTTACCATATACCCTTCCCGTCTCACCCCAAGCCTGCCGACTTTGGCATGCTTGACATCAAGCCTTTCCAATCGCGGTCGGCGCATGACTTACACCCCCGCGAACCCTTTCCTTACTATGGGGGCTTTTTTTTGAGCTCACTGTATCGGTGGATTTCGCCGTTGTTCTGGGAATGTCTCTTGGTGCCTCTGTCATCCGTGGACACCATGCGTCTCGGAGTGTCCATAGGCGCCGGTTGCCTCTCTTCAGTAAAGCCAACGCGTTGCATCTGAAGCATCTTTTGCTCAAGTGTTGATATCTTTTCTCGTTACGCCGTTCCTCAAAGTTTTACCTTATAAGATGCCGTCTATACAATTCAAAATGATAGACCAAGAGCTGGCCACAACTTCACAGGAACTCGGTTCTGATTAGTCTCGGCAGCAATGACTACATCCACAAGGTCATCTCTGCTGACTCAGGTGGATATTTAGCTTTCTTATATCTAAGTTAAACCATTGCGTCAGGTCCAATTACATCTTACGTCGGGGATTTAAAGTCAGGTAACTCCGAAGCCCAGCCTTACTGCTCAGTCATGACGGGGTTTTTGTTTGATTGCGTTATGTCCCTTGACTAATTAACTCGCGATTTGTATGCGATAAGACCCTACATTTCGAAAGCGAGATAATAAACTCGTTCAGTGTTTTATGTGTTCATCGTTTACGTGATTGGAATATCTCTCCATTCCCGCTTCTTCTGTCCCTATCAAAGGTCAAGCCACAGCCTTTCCACTGCTACAAACATGGGAACGACAAGTACAGGAACGGGCGAATATAACTTTCGCTCCAAATGGGCGTCACGGCTTGTTAGAGAGAACATCTTCCATACGATGACTCATCTGGCGAAAGAGACCAGCCACAGTTCACGAAAGCAGAATTACTTGCCAGCGACTTCACGACGCAAATGTCTTTCCTTCTCGGCTCCTCATCTAAGTGACCTTCTTTACACAGCTCCTGCAGGTCCGCTTGATCTCCCCAAAGATGTTGTGCAGGAATATGAGAGGGTTTCTGCTACGAGTTCTGATGACTTGACTTTCAAGCACAGAGTGTGTATCGTCGGTGCCGGTATTGCTGGCCTGTTCATTGCCATGATTCTGGACAGCCTGGAGATTCCTGGTCTGGAGTATGATATCCTTGAAGCCTCAGATCGAACTGGAGGACGGATTTACACTCACTACTTCTCCAATGTCTCGCACGACTATTACGATGTCGGCGCTATGCGATTTCCTGACATTGACATAATGCGGTCAACTTTCAAGCTTTTCAAGCAGCTGAAGCTTCCCCTGATTCCTTATTATTTTAGCCAAGAGAGCGGCTCTGTCAAATGCCCGACCATGTATAACGACATAACACTCATTGATGGTGAGCCCCGTGGGCCTGATCCCTTTCGTGTTGGTGAGGCAAACGGAGGCTCAGTGCCTGACAAGAATGTCGATGACGTGAGCAAGCTGCTCGACGGTGCCTATGAGCCATTTAGAAAGGCAATGGCTAAGGATTTTGAAGAAGGATTCAAACTCTTGATGCGATACGATGGCTACACCACTCGCGAGTTTCTCAAAAATCCACCCGCCGATAAGAAAGGAGTGATGCCCCTCAAATATCTAGACTTCTTCAGTATCCAGTGGCTGGAGACTAACAACACGGGAAGTGGCCTCTTTGATCAGGCATTTTCGGAGTCGGTCATGGACTCTTTTGACTTTGCCGGGCCTAGAGAAAAGACCATAAATTGGTACTGCATCGACGGGGGTTCGTCACTCTTGACCCAGGCTATGGAAAAGACTATCAAGCAACCCGTCCAGCACGGAAAACGGGTGCGAAAATACGAAAAAAACTCAACAACCAACGAAATCACTGTTTCGGTTGCTGGAGAACCAGAGGGAAGTCGTCTGGACTATACGACCGTCTTCAACACAACTAGCCTTCCGTGTCTGCAGCGAATAGATCTGACGGGTCTCGATCTTCACCCTAGTCAAAAGTGCGCAATCAGAAGCTTAGACTACGACGACAGTGCAAAAGTCGCCATGAAGTTTTCATATCCATGGTGGATAACGAGGTGCGGCATCACAAGCGGCGGCGAGGCTTCTACGGATACACCTCTCCGCACGTGCGTGTATCCGTCTTACAACATCCGCGATCCGCAAGACCAGTCGGCTACGCTTATTTGTAGCTACACATGGGCCCAGGATGCAACACGCATCGGCAACCTGATTGCGTCGCAGGACAACGAACTCCGCGACCTGATACTAGACAACTTGGCGCGGGTGCACTTGAAGAACTTCCAACAACAGGATCCCGTTTCTTACCATGGACTGACTACTCTTGACGAGGCTCGCCAGATTATCAGCGACGCCTACATATCGCACCACGCCTGGAGCTGGTCACACGACCCCTTCACCTCGGGCGCCTTTGCGCTGTTCGGGCCCGGCAAATTCTCCAACCTGTACCCCTACCTCGCGCGTCCGGCGGCCGACAGCCGCTTCCACATCTGCGGCGAGGCAAGCAGCACGCACCACGGGTGGATCGGCGGCAGCCTGGACAGCGCGCTGACGAGCGTGCACAAGTTCCTGAAGCGATTCGACTTGTGGGAGAAGCAGCTGAAGCTCAAGGAGCTGTGGGACATGCCTCCGGGGGTAGAGGACGGCGTCGATGGCACGCTGCATCTGCAGGTTGCGCTGGGCATGATTCCGACGAGTGAATTAGTTGGCCAAAATACTGGCATACCTGCACAGAACGACAACGAGGCTATGCGAGGTTGTATCGTTTCATAGCAGGTATCAATTCAAGGTACACGGTACACGCGACATGGATGATGATTGTAGAGTTAGTCGCAACTTGTCGTACTACACATTCGCATTCATACGTCTGCGCCCTAGGACTCGCTCATCTGTATAAACAACCGCTTCGGTGCCCGTACCATGAGCATCCTCGTCAACTTTCATAGACATCCGCATGAGCCCGGCCTGGATACGAAAGTCGTAGTCACATGAGCTGCTGGCGACAGGAAGAAGTTTCACAAACTGGTGGCAAGGCACGGTGCGAGGTTTTGCCCTGCCGACAGCCCTGCTGACTCCAATCCCTCCCAGGCTCAGGCACCTTGTTTAACAATGTCGTAGGGCAGGCGCGTCTGGCTCTTTCAAAATGCCTTGTATCTACTGTATTCAACGAGACCGTCATGGGAAGAGACTTGGCCGTCACCCTACGCGACTTCCAGAACTTTTGTAGCATGTATTAATTGGCCGTATTGGTTCGCTACAGTACGCGCCGCTACCCTGGACGACTCATCAACTCTGGGACTGTTCTTGATCAAGCTCCAAGATTGCTGCCGAGACCTTTCACAGACGTACGCTTGTTTATTAGTCATATAATACTCTGCCAAGTCACACAAGTTATCAACTTAGTCAGATAGGGTAGTTCCGAGCCTGACTCACCCCTTGAAACCGATTTTGCTCCAGCCTGCAGCTTTACTAAGGAGATCAGCGATTCCTGACGTCATTCTGTCACTTGGGGCTTTGGGGTGATCGTCTCCAGACGATTACAGCGCTCGGATGATAAAGTGGTGAACGAGAACCGTCCGTCATAAAATATCACCACTTCAATTTTATTAACCCTGCCGTATATTGTACACAGACGCTCTTTAACGCGCGCCATGACTTTTACCGTGCTATCAGACGACAACGTGAGGCAATTGCTGAGCGAACTTAGCCCAAGTGATACACGCCAATTCATCACAGCCTTGCAGGGGGGTCTCGTTGCCTACTCGTGCCAGGATGAGCAGCAGTATCAGCCGGAACGTTCAGTTATATCTCGCCCCAGCGGCCAAAGGAGCTTGTTCATGCCGGCCACGACGCCGCAGGCAATCGGTGTCAAAATGGTGGGCATTGCTCCTCCTTCCGGGCCGACCAGCGCTGCTTCGGAGGCAGCACCACCGCCGCCACCGGCGCTGCGCAGCGTCCTTACCCTGTGCAATGCTGCGGGGGAGGCCATCGGCATACTCAACGCCGCGGAGCTCACGGCTTTCCGCACTGCTCTGGGGTCTATGCTCCTATACCAGTCTCGCAAGGAGACGGCCAACATTGTGGTCTTTGGCTCGGGGAAGCAGGCGCAGTGGCACATTCGCTTGGCTGTGATGTTGCGCGCCAAGGATATTCGCAAAATTGTCATTGTCAATCGAAGCCGTGGGCGAGCGCAAGCACTGATTGCCAGCCTAGTCAAAGACTCACATCTGTCCTGGCCGTCACACATCAAGACGTACCAGTTTGAGGAGCGCAACGAAAGCCTCGAAGACTTGGTCGCGGATGCGGATGTTATCTTCTGTACCACTCCGGCCACTGAGCCACTTTTCCGTGCGAAATTCCTTACTTCGGCAAGTGCTCAAAGGAAGACACGATACATTGCCGCGATCGGTTCATATCGGCTAAACATGGCAGAGATTGATCCGGAGCTCATCAAGATAATGGTAGACCCTTTCGGAATATTCTCGCAGCATGTGTGGCAGAGGCACATCGCGGTTGACACTCGCGAGGGGTGTCTGCAAGAGGCCGGAGAGCTGGTCAGTGCAGGTGTAGATCCGGGTAAGATGCTTGAGGTTGGGCGAATTTTTGGATCTCAAGACATTCCTTCCGCGCAGACTGAATGGCTGGAAGAAGGCTTCGTCCTGTATAAAAGCGTCGGAGTAGGTGTTATGGACATGGCGGTAGGGCACCAGCTTCTACAGCTTGCCAAAGCCAAGGATATTGGGACGACCTTGGCAACTTTCTAGACGGTGGACTATAGTGCCATGTCCCCGGACCCTACGTAGTAGGTGCAAAAGGAAATACAGCCAACATGGCAATACATACAGGCCAATATCAGAAGCTCAAGTCATTAACCTAAAATAATAAATCTATTCAAAAATTACAATATTGCCGGGGTTGGTTAACCCTACATCAGTAGTCTCCAAGGTGCCTCAGGACACATATCGGGGGTAGTTTTTAAGAGCCATATACATATATATATATACATATCTAATAAACCCCCTCTTAATGCCTAACCCTACTTTATAAATATAGTGCCTTTTAGGGGATAAGACGAGATAGTCATAGCAATCATGGCCCGGTTCCTAATCAATCAAGTTGGGTAGTGCGTACGGCGCCGACCTATAAGCATAATGAAACTAATAAGAATTACTTTTCTAATAATTATATAGTTAGTTATTAATTATTAATTATCTATGATTCTAATAAATAGTTATATAATTTCTTTTTCTTCTTCTAGTTTTGGATACCTTATATAGTGAGATTAAACCTCTTAGCTACTCTAGGTCGCTTTGTGCTTATGGTTGAGAACAGTCTAGTGATAAAAATTCAGCCTAAATTAATACCGTAGCTCTCTTGGATCCTTTGTTATGCAAATGTTAAGGTCACTCAGGCACAATCATCTTTAAAAACCCTTTTTCTTTAGTCACCTAAAGCTTCGCATGGTTTCGGGGGCGGGGGTGTGGATTCTTCCTTGTCATGACGTCAACAAGCGGGCGTCGCAGCACCCCAGTGCTTCACAACGTTGACGGCTTCTAATTCTTTTGGTGTATTTCCGTCCCTAGCCGCGGCCTCTATGCCGCTAGCAGGAGGATCCCTCAAGACAAGTGGCTGCCCTGCACCACGCAATACGAAAGGTGGAAAGGGGGCCGTGGCATATGTACATCGTAGATACTCTTTCTCCTATTCATTTATTTTATTTTTTTCATTTATTTTCTTTACTTTTTGGTCTTTCTTGTCATTCAGGCTCCTGATAGGGGCGAGGTATAACGGGTACAACGGGCAGCGGAGCAGAGTTCCGCGCCAATAAGAGCGCCGCTCCCGGCCTGACGCCCAGCCTCAGGATGCGAATGGCGAATGGCTTACCGATAAGGATTCACTTTTCAATCGCAAATCGACTCAAACCCCATTCTTCCTTTTCGCTCCCCACACTAAAGCCAGGATCGCCGCTGGAGGGTTTCCTCGTAATGAAAGCGCTGGATGCTGGGCAGCCTCGTCGTGCAAACTCGCTGGCATTGACGTCGACGACTATTCCAACAGGGCCATTTAAGCTGCAGCCAGCCAGTGCTACAAATCAGGCTGTCGTTTCACTCTTATGCTTCTGGCAGCTAGATGCCGCGGGCACTTCCCTTTAGAGTAACAACGAGGCTCTGTCCCCATTCCTGCCGTCATGGTTGACGATACAAACTAGGAGCGATAGGACGCCACGGCTGCCGCCACCACAAGCAATGGCAACGATGCATGTCTAGTCGTAGGGGGATCAATGTGGCGCCTCCCGGTTATCCACATGAGCCAGTGCGCAGGATCTGTAGCAAACGACCAAAGGACAAGGGGGTAGAGTTGGATAGATTGCGGCAAGCATCTCTCACAAAAGATGGTGGAGGCGTAGCACAAGTAGGCCGACACCGCCAGCACGCCACTTGTTGTATGTCTAGTCACGATGTGGTCCAGCTGCCCCTCATTAGTTGGTCGGGCGCTCCCACCGGCGGCTGGTCCGATCAAGGCTTGGGTCTAGTCTGCTCTGGAGGGGTAGAGTGGCTCAGACCGAGCTCTTCCGGTCATGGAGTCTCAGATGCCACTACAGGAATAAAAATAAATAAATTCATATATATGTATATATAAGGAAAAGAGAAACAAAGTGAGTTGTCGAGCCAAGGAGCTTAACCTTTAACTAGTGCCTACAAGCAGCCACAAAGCTTCGACGGGAAAACGCTGATGCCATATACAACTAAAAGACAAGTGCAAAGAGACGGCATCTGCAGGGCGCACAAATGCCAAGTATGCCAATGCCACGTTACTATGCATCAGTCAACTACCGGCCAGGCCATTGGCGCCCCAAAGGTCAATAGAGCAAGAGAGCCTGTTCTGGTGCAGCCCTGGTTCGCGGCCCTAGTTGGTAGGAATCGGGAAATCAAGTACGGCGGAATGCGAAATATGCAAAGCACCTCAGGCTAAACCCGCTACGCCACTAGCATGTGCATGTAATTCAGCATGCCAAGTCGCAGCAAGGCTGCGGCAGCGGGGGTTGCGATTGGGGGCTATTGTTCCTGGGAGGGAGGGAAGGGGGATTTGCGGGTTGGGTACTTTTGAACGGGTCTGCAGGCACCAGCAAGTTTCACTCATGTGGCGATACAGCTTTGGGGGCTAATTCTCGTTCGCAGACGCTGCCTGGCATCATATAAAAAGCCTCTCTTGCCTATCCGGTGCCGACATTACCAAAAGGGTGGAGATTGCCCAAGGGAAGCTTGAGACAGTTTTCGCGAGCCTCCTTCCGAAATAGCTTCACCTAGGGTCAACTCTCCTCCAAGCAGGGTTTCCGTCTCGTGTGCATATAGACCAAAAACAAAAATGCCTAAGAGAAACGACGCCGGCCACAAAGCGCCCCCAAGGGCGTCGAATCGTCCAAGCAGTCCTTGTTACGGCCATGACGACGCCAGTCTCAACGAGGACTGGAGGTCGGCGAGCGATCCCGCGGAGAAGAAGCGTATACAGAACCGAGTCGCGCAAAGAAATCACCGTAAGGGAAACCTGGCAAGTCGCGGGCAGCAACTTGTAAACTGGCAGCTAATTCTGTAGGTCTACGCACAAAGGCACGCATAGAGGAGCTCCAGAAGCAGCTTCGTGAACATGAAGCCGGGGCATCTGAGCGGAACGAGCAAGCGGGTGAGCTTCAAAGCAGTGCAAGGCCATCATCAACCCGCCAAAGCTTCTCTGCGGCTCAGCCAGACTCATTCACTCCGCATTCAGTCGATGGAGATATTTTTGACTGCATCCAACTCGAAGAGGAGCCGCCAAACGAACCGGGCGACGACGCGCATCATGGCTTGGGCGAGAGGGTGTTTGTTTCATCCAAGGAAACATTGTCCGGTTGTACCTTTTTTTTTTCTCCGCGGGCCAGGCACAAATGTCGGCGTTTTTTTTTTTGGCTAACACCTCGGTAGCTCCAAGATCAGACGAGCACGTCGAGCATTTTTTTGCGAGCCAAGAGGCTGGGGGATTGACCTTTCACGGCTCAGGCAGCCTCTGGGGGCCGCCGCCCGGAGGAGCCGGAGACGCCGCGGCAAATACAGAAGTATCAGAAGCATCTTCGTCGGGCAACTACTTGAGCGGCGGCGGCGGCGGCGCTCTCTTTGCGCTTCACGGCTACCAGGTGGCGGCGGAGCAGGCCGCCGTCAGCCTGCCCACCCCGTCGCCGGAGGAGGCGGCGGCGCTGGACGAGCGCGTGCAGCACGTCATGAAGCAGGTGGAGTCGGCCGGGTTCAGCGACTTTGACGCGTTGGTTACAACCTACTACTGCGAGCCATTCCGCGAGCCATCGCCGCTCGCCTTCGAGCAGCAGCTCAGCCGCGCGAGGCGGCTGCCGGGCGTCCTGGCCGAGCTCTCCGGGGCGGCGAGGCGGTGGCCGCTCGGGGAGCGGCGCCGCTTCTGCGACGAGGCGGTGAGGGCGGCAGAGGGTATGCTAGTCCTTGAGGGCAGGGCGGCGCGCAGCACCCTCGAGGCTCATCTCGCCTCGCTCGGCGCGATGATCGCCTCGCCGTCAAAGCCGTGCCTGACGGCATCCGATCTGCACACGATGAAAAACTTGATCCGAAAAGAGGTGCCTTTTTTTTTTTGTTCTTTCTTATTTTTTTTTTATTCTTTTGCCAGCACGCAACTTGAAATCAAGAGGCTGACGTCGCAAACACAGCAACCGCACCTTTGGGGGCTCACAATGGCTCTTGTGGCAAGCTTCCAGGGCGTCTGGCGGCACGACCGCTCAACGACTGCTCTTGCTACCATTATGCTCATGCAGTTTTCCGGACGCCTGGACTCTAGCACGCTCATTCAGTTAGTCGAGGCTTGCTGATTGTTTTGGAGGATAAAACTGGTAAATATCGACAGGCGCCATGCAGAGTCAATCTGTTGACGGACCTCTTTTTGAACAGTACTTGTTTATAACTAGGATTACTATAGCTGTAGACTTAGTTTGTCCCCCACGAATAGTTCCGGCGGGGGTTATACCTAAATAGGGACAAATCACAATAATGCCTAGATACTGAGTTTTAAAATTTTGACTTAGAAGATGATTTTATTCATAACCTTTTTAGGCAGAGAGGTCTATAATGACCCTTGCCACACCCTAGCAATAAAGTACCTTTTTACTAGGGTGCCGATGGGGGCTAGATAGAGGCTTAACTAGGCTTTATCCAGCCCTACTAGTCTCTAACTAGGCTTTATCTAGGTGCGAAATATTAACCTAGAACTTAATCTACCTATAGCTGTCTCCCCCTTTCTACCTAAAACAGTACTTTCTACTATAGTCTATAGTTAACCCACTATATCTACTTAGACTAATGTACTTAACTGACTAAGTCCCTTAATAAAAAGAAACTTAGTATTTAGGTATAAAATAGATACTACTCTATAATTAGTTACCTATTTTTTAACTTTCTTAGAATATCTCTAAGATTTTTTAGATTAAAGAAAGTTTATACTAAGATTTTTTAACTATTGATTTATATAAAGATAGCTTTATAATTCCTTCCTGCGCTTTTTTATAATATAAATACTATGTTTCTTATTTAAGCAGTTGCGATGCAATATGCAAGAACGTCTGAATCTTGCAATCTGAGCCCACCTAAAAATAGGGAGGTGTGCCGTCCATCATTCCTACGTTAACGACTGTTAATATAATGACATTCATTTGATTCTACCTCTTCTCTGTTCACGGCGTGAAGCATCGGTTAATTATCGGTTATCACTCAGTGGCATCTATAGAGTCTGGTGAAATTCGCGTTGAGACTGTGATTTGTCCTGGCCGTCGTGAGATGCCGTCTTTGGATGGAGATCCCCGCATTTCGACTGCATGTTGGTTCCGTTTCCGGAAAGTTAGGAACTCCGTGCATCAAAGGAACCAGCGGCAGCCTTGAAGCCGAAAGCTGTGTTGGTTTTCGACTTTGTCTCACCACTTTCCAGTTTTCCCAAATATATACATATATATGTATATTTTTAAAGCCTCGTCAATGTCTACTTCTATCCACCCTTTCAAGCTCTCCATTGCCCAGTCCACTCTTGACGACTTGCAAACCCGTCTTAGTCTAACCCGCTGGCCGGACAAGGAGATTGTCACAGACTGGTCCCAGGGTGTCCCGCTCGCGGCAATTCAAGAGCTGTGCGAGTACTGGAAGACCGAGTACGACTGGAGACGATGCGAAGCGCTACTGAACTCGTACCCTCAATTTACAACAACCATTGACGGGGTCGAGTTCTATTTTCTGCACTTTCGGTCAAGGCACCAAGACGCTCTTCCCCTCGTGCTTACGCATGGTTGGCCCGGCTCTATTCTAGAGTTCAGACATGTAATCGATCAGCTCGTCGACCCCGAACCCCACGGCGGCCGACTGGAAGAAGCGTTTCACCTCGTCATCCCAGCACTCCCGGGCTACGCCTTTTCCGGGAAGCCGGCGGAGAAGGAATGGGACTACCACCGCACCGCGGCCGCGTGGGCAGAGCTGATGCGGCGCCTGGGCTACGCGGACAGCGGATGGGTCGCCCAAGGCGGCGACTGGGGAGCCCACGTCGTCGCGAGCCTGGGCCATCAAGCAGTAAAGGGATTGAGGAGCGTTCATCTCAACTCAATCTACTTTGAGTCAAAGGCAAGCTGTGCTCTCATCCAAACCTCTGGAAGGATGTACGCTAACCGCCTCTGCAGAAGGAAAGTCAAATCCCAATCCACGATACAAAGGCCGAGAAGAGGGCCATGTATCTTGACGAGCGCCGGGATGCTGGGTTTCGCGGGTACTCTTTGCAGCAGTCGACGAAGCCGCAGACGATTGGGTACGGGCTCGCAGACTCGCCGGTCGCGCAGGCGACCTGGATCTACGAAAAGTACAGAGACTGGTCGGACCACGGCGGCAACTTGGAGGTGGTGCTCGGAAAGGACGAGATGCTCGACACCATCATGCTATACTGGCTCTCCAACTCGGGCACATCGTCTGCGCGCTACTACTGGGAGAACCAGTTTAACTACACCGCGTGGCCGATAGACTTACCGGTCGGCGTGAGCTGGTTCGGCGGCGACAACAGCTACGCTCCAAGGGAGTGGTGCGAGAGGTACTACAAAAATATCGTGTACTGGAACGAGACGGCCCGGGGGGGGCACTTTGCGGCATGGGAGGTGCCAGAGATGTTTGTCGCTGAGGTGCGCGGGTGGATGAGCAGAATTTAATAACGAGGCTTAAAAGGTATCTTGTTAAGTAAGCAGTTTTAGCTAATATAAAATATATAGTAGGGACATTTTATACTAAAAATAGAGTCTATTTTCTAGTATTTCTTTCTAATTAATAAGATTAAAGTATTTAAGTAGTATAAATACT